TTAATGAAGAGAAGGATGAGGGGGGACATGATAGCAGTGTTCCAATATCTCAGGGGCTGCCACAAAAAAGAGGGAGTCAAGCTATTCTCCAAGGCACCTGAAGGCAGGACAAGAAGCAACGGATGGAAACTAATCAAGGAGAGAAGCAACCTAGAACTAAGGAGAAACTTCCTGACAATTAGAACAATTAACCATTGGAACAACCTGCCTCCAGAAGTGGTGAATGCTCCAACACTGGAAGTTTTTAAGAAGAGACTGGACAGCCATTTGTCCGAAATGGTATAGGGTTTCCTGCCTGAGCAGGGGGTTGGACTAGATGACCTCCAAGGTCCCTTCCAACTTTATTATTATTATTATTATTATTATTATTATTATTATTATTATTATTATTATTNAAAAAAAAATATCCCAGCACTTAGTGAGTGTTATTCAAGAATGTGGGAAGAATCCAGAGAAAGAAATATTTAGGGGAATATTAAAATATATTTCCCCAAAGGAATAATGGAGAAGATCTTTAAAAAGGCAGAAACTTCTCCCCCCCCAATGAGACAACTCAGCAGAAACCAGCTTATAGAAATGCAGATGTAATAATCCATTCAGGAAGGTTGGAGCCTTCCAGCTAGAAGCTGAAGAGATTAAGAAGAGAAAGACCCTTAAAATCTACATACCCCACCCAAACTCTAAGGCAAGACCTAATAGGATTAACCAACCAATGCCAAAGAGGCACACTCAGACTCAGGTCACAGTACATGACACAGGAAATACAAAGCCTCAAACAGGAACAGGAAACAATCTCAAGAGCCCCAGAAGGTATAAAAATCCATCACTCCCTGCTACATGTGGTCAGCTTTCCCAGAGCTATCTTTCTGTCTGGTTTTCCTCTTCAATAAACTACAACCTTCTTTCTAAAGCAGTCTCCATTTTGTTTATTCCCAGCTTCGACTGGACCCTGATGAAGATTTTTCTTTCAACAAGAGTGTTAGCTTGTTTTTTAAGTTGAATCTTTAGCAAGTAACATCTGCTCTACTTTGCAAACATTTATTATTTATTTCATGAAAGTATTTACAGATTGCATATCCATAAAAAAAACCCTGGAAAACCAACGTGGTGTAGAACTTTTCAGAATTAAAACAATTTAAAGTAAAATAAGATGAGATTATAGATAGGGAGACCAATATAAAACCAAGGTGTTTTTTTTTTTTTAAAAAAAAAAAGATGCTTAAAATGCATCAGGGTAAAGTTTGGGACACATCAGGGGATAAGTTATTCCATAAGACAGACAACATCAGAGGAGGGGCCTAATTCTGCATCACCCCTAAGAGATGATTTGCAGAATAAAGTACAAATTTATGAACTTGTCCCACATGTACCTGAGAGTTGATATATTTTAATACATTCTTTAAGTTAACCTGGTGGTAAATTGTATACTTGTGTAAGAAAACATACCTATGTAAGAAAAATATAAATTGTATCCAGTGCTTCTTCAGATAATTCTCTGTTATATAATATGACTGCGAAATTTTTTGCAGTGGTGCAAAGTTTTCCATCAAAGTTGTTTTGTAAGGCAACATGGCACCTCCACTTCTAACGATCAGGAGAACATATTGCTTCATTCTGCTCTGTTTTGCAGGCAGAAGCCACTGTAGAAGGCTACAAGTCAAGCTGCCTTTTCCGAGAAGCTCTTTGTGGAAACAAATCTATGTCATATTTCACCAATCTGTTTTTTTTAAGCATTTGTTCCACCATTGCAGGGCCAACTTATTTGTTGCACACTTGTCCATTGGTGAGATGAAGAATATGTTCTTCAGCTGGTTTGTCGCAGAGCCTGACATTTTGAGGGGCAGAAAAAGAATATGACTGAAAATATGACTGAGTCACCCAAGGACAACTGGCTTCCATGGAAGGACAAGAACTTGGATTTCTCCATTGCTAATCCAGACCTGAGAATACCATAGACAGCCAAGAAAACAAGCTAATGGATCATCAGACAAATCAAGCCAAGTTCTCACTTGAAGCACAAATGGCCAGACTCAAATTATCCTACTTAGGACACATTATGCGAAGACCCAGCTCTCTGGAAAAGGCTAGGGAAGGTGGAAGGAAAGAGAAGGAGAGGACAAACGGCAACAAGTTGTGTGGATTCAGTTACAATGGTGATGAACACATCACTGGAAAATTTGAAAGAACGGCTTAGGGAATAGATAGTCATGGAGAAGATCTATCTGTATAGTTGTTAGAAGTCAAAAATGACTTCATGGTTCCTCCTTCTCCTCTTTAAGCATTACAACACGATGGCTGTCTTCACAAGCCTATTATATTCCGTAACATCTGTCAACTCTGCTTATGTCACTCTATCTCCACCCATGTTTGGTATTTTACAAAGAATGGACTTCAAATCTAAAACTGATACTAAAAAAACAAGTTGGGAAACAAGCCAAACAAAAATGAGTGGAGAAACAATATATGAAATTTAAATGATTTCAATTATTGCATTGGGACTACAGGTTTCTTCCAAAAACTTAATGGAAGTAACGCAGCAGTGTTGCATTCTATCCTTAAAACATCTGCCTGGTCACGCATGTTTATTAAGATCTCTTAATAGGATGGTACAAACAGTGTTCTATTTATTTTTTCAGTGTGTTTTCTTTCAGTCCACATTGGACTTCATTGTTAGATGCCATACCATTTCTAAGAAATAAAAGCAAACAAATATTTATATATATTAGGACTAACATTGTGTATGCGTTCTTTTATTGACATTGCCTTTATGATTTCAAAGGCAATATGAGACATAGACGCTAAGCAAGTAGAAGGACAGGTCTGGGAGAACTCTTTTCATAGCCAAAGCAAGACAATCGCTATTGTGTAAAAAGCTCAGCTGTAAAAAAAGCAATCATTTAAAACCATGACCGTGTCGTAAAGTTAAGATTAAGTGACTTAAACAGATGATCTAGGCACTGATTTGTTCAGTGAATAGAATTTGGGTTTAAATCTCCTTTTACTTAAAGTCCAAGTGGAAGTGGAAAGTTGCATGTCTGCCTGTCTATCTATCATGTCATTTTCATAAGGACAAAGAAAACAGTGGAATTGTTGAAAAATATTCCCAAAATCACCAGCAGAAGCCTTTGCAATGCATGAGACCAATTCCTTATTACTGAAATTACTGATTTCATTTACTAAATTAACTCAGCTATCCCCAGAAATGACATCTTGTCTCTGTTCTTTGCTTTCTATGCAGGTGAGTGTGATGTACATGTAAATAAAACTTTTATGTCTATTTGTTACTCTTTGTTTTTTTCCTTTTTGAAATCAGTAGACATAGTCCTCAACTTGCAACAGCTCATTTAGTGACCATTTGACATTTCTGCAGCACTGAAAAAAGGGAACTTATAACCGTTTTTCACATTTATGACTGTTGCAACATCCCCATAATCACATGATCAAAATTCAGATGCTTGGCAAGTGACTCATATTTATGATGGAGGCAGTGTCCTGGGATCATGTGATCCCCTTTTGCAACCTTCTGACAAGCAAAGCCAATGTCATTTAACAACTTTGTTACTACTGTGATTCACTTAACAACTGTGTCAAGAATGGTCATAAAAAGGGCAAAATTCATTTAACCATTGTCTCACTTAGCAACAGAAATTTTGTGTTCAATTGTGGTCGTAAGTTGAGGACTACCTGTACTTGTAATATTTCTAACACCATTTTCTTGAGCAGATTCTTCTCAGAGCTGCGTCCTAAGTCTGCTGTTGTTCACCCTGTTGACCCATGATTGTTTTGCAAGGTTTTCCACCAACCATATTGTGAAGTATGCAGACGATACAACAGTGGTGAGCCTTATTCAAGATGTCAATGAGGGTGCTTACCGCAAAGAGGTAGAGGGTTTGGTGAACTGATGTAATAAAAACAGCCTAGTTTTAAATGTTGGAAAAACTCGAGAGATCATTGTTGATTTCAGAAAAGGCAGGCACAGACACACTCCTTTGTGTATTGATTCACCTGCGGAGATGGTTAGCAGCATCAAATTTCTGGGTGTGCAGCTAATGAGTAGGCTGGCTTGGTCGCTCAACAGTGAGACACTGGGCACAGCAGCGCCTGCATTTTCTGCATCGCATGAGAAAAGTACATCTTCCTTCCCTTGTCCTTACCACTTTCCATAGAGGGATGATTGAGAGCATCCTGTGATATTGCATTAGTCTGATTTGGAAGTATTACTGCATCAGACAGGAAGGCGTTGCAGAGAGTGGTGAGGATGGCAGAAATGATTATTGGCAGTTCACTCCCTTCTATCCAAGACATAGTATATAAGTGTTGCTTGAGCAGAGTCCGCAGGATTGCCTGGGACACTACACATCCTCTTCATGACCTGTTTTTCTTGTTACCTTCTGGGAGGAGGCTTTGTGGTATCCAAATGATCCTGATTCAGTCACAGTTTTGTTCCATACAGTATCAACCTTGTGAACTCTAAAGCTTCCTCCTTCCGTTATGTTTTCAAGATGGACAATGATTAATATTTATATGTATTTATATTTAAGGATGTAGGTATGTATGAATATAGCATGTTTATATGTGTGTTATGTATGTGTACACTTTTGAGAGCAGGCAACAGAATTTCATTTTTAATGTGTGCCAGTGTGCCCACAATAAAAAAAATGACAATAAAGGTTATCTAATCTAATTGTACCTATATTTCTGTATGTGATTTTCAATTCTGGTGTTACCCAGACAAATAAACCAGGAAATTACCCAAATATCAACTCAGTTATCAAGATTTTTTGAATTATAAAACCACCTATTTTAAGCTGCTACTTAGGACATGCTACAATTGTCACATCACAGCTGTTTAATTGCAATTTTATTTGTATAAACAAAATGTGCAGACGCCTCTTACATATTAAAACCTATAGCAATTAAAATTCTTATACAGTTGAGTATTTGACTAGTAGTCAACATAAAACACTCTTACAACTATATAATATTAAAAGAATCATGCATATTATGGAAGTGGTTAATAATTACTTTAAACAGGTCAATCCATTTATTAATTTCTCTCCTTCTCTAGGGGTCCTGCCGCCTAAGTCTTGTCTGAGCAATTTTTATAAACGCCTCCGATGAAGACACCAGTTCTCAATATTATTAACAGTAAAGAACTAACATATGTTATGCATGTTTCTGTTTCAGGGATTCCTATGTTGAAGGTTCAACAGGACAAAAGGGTCCATCTACCCATGACAGACGAGTGTTTTTAGCTATATATTCCATGACTTCATGCACAGCTTTCCTGGCCTTGCTAATCTTCTCCGGGATCTCTTTCAGGAAACCACTGGGAAGATCCTGGAAGCATGTGGTACTAGGGAGGACAGCTTGTAGCTCTTTTAAATCACACTCAGCCTGTTGGATTTTTTGCTGAAGATGTTCAGGAAGGCTCTGTATGTTAGTTAAGATTTTCTGGCAGACCTCCTGCATCTTCTGCGCAACACTGTAGGATGTGGCTAGAGCATGGGATTCCATCTGTTATGAAACAAAAAAAAATATTGTTAATTGAACATCATAGATCTTCATCTATGAGATTTTCTGAAGGGGGAGAGAGAGAGAGAGAGAGAGAGAGACTCAGGGCAATTGAATATTCTGGTTTATGTATGGAGACAACATTGTTTATTGTTGTTCCCCTGATTTCAGCCATACAATACATGCCAGGTGGCAGAATTCAAATGTTCCCCCTCTTTTCTTCCTCCTCCTATTTTATGTATGTTCTGTAAAGGGTCTTTGATCCAGCTCTTCGTCTGAGCTTTTTCATATAGCCTGAGAAACACACCATTTTTTTTCTTCTGGTGCTGGGTATAAATTTGGCATACATAGTTTGTTTAATAATGTTGCAGGATCCAATCTGCGTCAGTCACCAGGACTAGAGGTTTAGACTGTCTAATAATTTTTTACTGACTAAATCATAATTGGCTAGGTTTATCCATTATGCCAGGCCACAAACCATTGTCAAGGCATAATGACTGAATTACTAACGTTGTAAGCCTCCATAGACTAATAATTCATATATATGTTTTACAAACCTATTTATTTATTTAATAAATTTGTAGAGCTGCCCACTTCACAAAATGTGATCTTGGAAGAGATCCATTATAGCTGATAAACCATAGTTTATAAGTGACATCCTGGATTGTTGAATAATGGTTAGAACCATGGCTTAGCATGAGACATGAGTCAAATAACTATGACTAATTCCAGGAAGTTTATATGGTTCATGATCATGACCAAATCCTTATTTGCATCTAACTGAAGAAAAGATACCCTCAACAACCATTTTTTTTCTGCTATGTTTTCCACCTTGCTTTTCCTCTGATCTCAGCCCATTATAGCCTTAAGCTATTCCTGTGTTACAAGTGTGCTTTTCCTCTTATCTCAACACATTTTGCCAAGAATATAATGGAACATACATCACTGACCATTCTCTTGATGTCATAATCTAATGACTCCCTAGGTCAGGGGTCTGCAACCTTAAACACTCAAAGAGCCACTTGAACCCGTTTCCCAGAGAAAAGAAAACACTGGGAGCTGCAAAACTTGTGCATACATGCGTGCACGCAAGGGGTGGGAAGCTTGATTGAAGAGTTTAATTAAAAAGAAATAGAGGCTGCTGTGCATGAGTTCTCTCTCTCTTTCTCTCTCTTTTCTCTCCCTCTCTCTCTCTTTCTCTCTCCCCCTCTCTCTCTCCCCCCTCTCTCTCCCTCTCTCCGATCTTCTGCTCACCTGGCAAGGTGGCTTCAGGCTCTTCTCCAACAAGCTGACACACATTCTTATTGGACTGGGTCTACCCTGCCCTTCCTGCTTCCTGCACAGACGCAGCAAAGGCAGGAGCCCCGCCCAATAAGCTTGTCAGCTTGTCTGAGAACAACGTGAGGCCACTCTTTTTTTTGAGAGAGAGAGAGAGAGAGAGAGAAGGGAAGTGCAAGTGCCTCTCTCTGTCTCTGTCTCTCTCTGCAAATGGTGGAGGAGGCTGGGAGCCGCAGGAGAAGGCTCAAAGAGCCACGGGTTGCCGACCCGTGCTCTAGGTCATGGGATCAGTCCAACCTCTATTGACCACTATGTAGGCAAATACCCTCTCCTCTACCCCTCTGGACATTTGATTTAGGAAGCAGAGTTTCAAATGGGACCCCCAGCCTCTACTCATCAGATCTATAGGCCAATCTCCATCTTGTCTTTGAAACAAGTCAACAGATAACAAGTTCCAGATAGGCTGTGTGGTACACTGGAAGTCACTCCTGCGGTATAGCATTGTGCAACTGTTCCTCTGGAACCTCTTGGCTCTTTGAGCCAATTCTCCCCCTTTCCTCCCCTTCTCTCAAGCGGGGATCAGTGCCAGGGCTGGGAGAAGATGGCAAGTCAAGAGAGCAGGTGACTCTTCCAAAGCCCCCATATCTCTGTAAGATCTGATTTAACAGCTACAGCCCTTTCTTGCCAGTCTCCTGCCTTTCTCCTAGTTTGGGTAGTTGATTTCCCAGCTGGAAGAGCCGACAGGTAAAGAGGGGAAGTTGGCTTAGCCATCTGTCAAAAACATTGTTAATCATAAAATAATATGATGTGTGTGTGTGTGGGGGGGGGTAGGTTGCCACTACTAGGTAACATGGAGGTAGGAAATGCAAGACAGTGGAAATTATGTATTGATCTTTAGTAGCAAGTTAGGACAGGGACAATGTCACGCTTAGTGTTTGTTTTTATACAATTAGCAATGGGTCTCTTGGAGATACAAGGAGTGGATTATGGAACATCCAAGCACAAAATAATATTTGCATCTTCACTGAACGACGGCCCTTCCCTATTTTCTTGTACCTTCAAAAGACAAAGCATCGTCATGCTGAGATACCTACCTCTGCCTGATTTGCTTCAGTGCTCTGACTCTGCTTAGGTTGACCTTTGTACCACTCCTTCCACATTTGGTACACTTTTTCTTGACCTTTGTGAACTTTGTAGTCCAATTCCTCCTTGGTATATTTTAGCTACAATAAAGCAAAGAAAAAGAAAAAAGAAAAAAAAAGTAATGCGCTGCAAGCCTAGTGTTGTGTTTGGCACCGTAGCTACAGCTTTGGCTCACAGGCCAGAGCCATGGTGGCGCAGTAGTTAGAATGCAGTATTGCAGGCTGACTCTGCCCACTGCCAGGAGTTCGGTCCTCACTGGCTCAAGGTTGACCCATCCTTCCATCCTTCCGAGGTCAGTAAAATGAGGACCCAGATTGTTGGGGGGCAATACGCTGACTCTGTAAACTGCTTAGAGGGGGCTGTAAAGCATCACGAAGTGGTATATAAGTCTTAAGTGCTATTGCTTTTCGTTCCCTACTCAGATCCTCTTCAAAGAGTTATCCAGAAAAATGTCTTAAGGAACTTCCATCAAGTTTATTCAAGAAGTACAGGCAATCCTTGACCTACAGCCATTCATTTAGTGACCATTCAAAATTACAACAGCACTGAAAAAAAGGGACCTACAGCCGGCCGTCACACTTGCCACCGTTGCAGCATCCCCACAATCATGTGATCCAAATTCAGGCACCTGGCAATTGATATGTACCTATGATGGCTGCAGCACCCAGGCCAGGTGTTTGCCATTTGCAAACTTCTGGCTAGCCAGCTTCTGGCAAGCAAAGTCAATGGGGGGAAGCCAGATTTGCTTAATGATCATGTGATTCACTTAACAACTGCAGGGATTTACTTAACAACCATGGCCAAAAAAAAAAAAGATTGTAAAATCAGGCGTGATTCACTTAACAATCAGTTTACTTAGCTACAGAAATTCGAACCCCAATGGTGGTTGTAAGTTAAGGCCTACATCAGTGGTGGCGAACCTATGGCACAGGTGCCAGAGGCGGCACTCAGAGCCCTCTCTGTGGGCACGCGCGCCCTCGCCCCAGTCCTAGGCCTTCAGCTGGGTTTTATAAAACCTTTTCACTTTAGACCTCCACCACCATGTACAAAAAAAAAAAAGGTTCAATCAATCAGTCAATTTCAACTTCTCGCGGGAAAAAAAAGATCTTGCAAAGTTGGAATTGATTGATTGAACTTTTTAGTCCCACCCAGTCTGCTGTTACCACTGGAGCCACGCCCACCCAATGGGCCACACCCAGCCAATGGGCCACACCCACCCGGCACTCGACGATGCATAAGTGGGTTTTGGGTTGCAGTTTGGGCACTCGGTCTCTAAAAGGTTCGCCATCACTGGCCTACATGGATTACACTACCTTGTATACCCAGAGATTGGAAGGACTTACAAATTCACATAACGGAAGAGTGGATGGTGAAGTTAGTAGAACCTGCTGTGATGGTGAAACTGATTGTTTTGACCAAAGAAAAGACTTTTGTCTAGCTTTGTTTCTACTTGGAGGCCACGCTGGACTTTTTGCTTGAAACGAAAAGACATGAAACTTTTAACTTTGGGATTTGAGGATTGTTTATACTATTTAGAACTGTTTATAATTATAGAAACACTGTGTGTTTTTAATTGGAGAGTAAGAGGCCACAGTGACATATTGTGCATCTTAATCTTAGAGTAAAAGAGTAAAAAAAGGCTAAAATATATTTTGTATCTGTATCTGAAAGTCAAAAGTTATTCTGTGTTTTCTTACTTTTTTTCTGCACCTCTAATTTTGGCTGTTTTCTGACCCATTCTTTCCCTATGATTCTACGATTCTCCAATTCCCTTTGTTTCTTTATATTTGATCTCTTATTGAAACTTAATGACATTTAAAAAAAGAAAGAAAATATTTTCCCCTAACAGACAAAAAAAAAAGTCACCAAAGTGCACAATCAGCTGGGTATTTTTCTTCATTAAAGAACTGCTGCAGCCTTGGACATTAGCATTAATAAAGATCATTTTGACCTAGGAACCTCAGAGGGCATTGCTAGCGGTCTTCTTAACATGAACAAAGTAGATGTAGTGAAAATTGGGGGGGGGGCTTTTTTGTAATTTGGATTAAAGAAACAGTTTGGAAGCTCAATCCCTGCAGATGTTTAAAGCATCCATCTTGCCCTTTGAAATCCCTTCACTGAGAGAAAATATTTAAATCTTTTCTAGGCTTGAATGTTCATTTCACTCCTCAATCCCCCTAAATCACCCCAAAGAAAAAGTATGATATGTCCAGACTCATTCCAGGGCCACCTGGATTGCAAATGTAATTTGGGAGACTGCCATCTGTTCTGGGGTCAGAGATTTACTTAGAAGGTCTCTTAGAATTGAGTTGTGCCTATTTTTCTTCGCAGTAGTGAAATGCACTAAAACAGTCTCAACTTGGTATCTTGCAAGTATCTTACACCATATCGTTCATCATCTCTCAAGACATGGCCAGATTAGAAAAGCTGGAAAACTATTTTTGAAAGAGCCCTTCAAAAGTTTTTAACAATACTCTTGCCTATTCCTAGACAGAACTCAAGAGCATTAAAATATACTAAGGTTGTGTGAGGTGTTCCAAGCAGCCAATTATGCTGCAGTTAAGATTAACAAGCAATATAGAACTCATTTTCAACACTGCTTTCTTAATCAAAAAGTCACCTGCCTGGATTTGCCATTAATCCTTCCAGGCGAGTACTCTGTTACACTCACTTAGGAACAGAGCATACTTTAAGTGATTGCACTACATTGTTGCATGACTTCTTACTCAAAAGGAGGACTCTTTCTATAATCAAAGTGCAATTCTGTAATCGTAAAGATGTATTTTCTTGCCTCATATCCAAAATAGCCATGCCAAATGGAGATGATGCTCTACAATTGCCCTCCAGCACATCTGGAAGGCATCAAATTGGGGAAGGTAGCAGGGTTTTATTTACAAATGAGAAGCTTGAACCCCCATGAAGTCAAGAAGGAAGCATCCATGTACAAAAGATTAGATGATTTGCTAGAATATAAGAAAATGTTGATGTTTCCCCCCCTTAATAAAATATAGACACAACCTAATGCATTCTGAATCTGGTTAATGGATAATGTAGGTCCCTGTTTCCCAATCTTGGAAATTTTGATATGTGTGGATTTCATCTTCTAGAAGTCTTAGCAAAGGCCATACTGCCTGGGAGTTAAAGTCCACACCTCTTTAATGTTAAGAAAGATCGCTGTCGGTAGACTGTTGAGCAAGAATGGAAGTGAAAGACACAATGTATCATCCCTAAAAACAGCACAGCTGTCAGACTACCTAGTTAACATATATATTATGCAAAAACTCTTATTTTAAATGAAATCCAAATCCACTTAACTCCTCATTAAGCTTTTACAGGACCCCAGTGGTAGAACAGGACCCAAAATTTGAACACAAATATTTATATCCTGCCTTTATCATTTTCATAAATAACTCAAAGCGGCGAACATACCCCATGCTACTACTTCCTTCTATTTTTCCCACAACCATCATCTTGTGAAATGGGTTAGGCTGAGTGTGTGTGACTGGCCCAAAGTGATTCAGCCATCGTTCATCATCAGCCGTTTATCTTTTAATATATTTTAACTCAAATATCTTTTTAAGAATTTTGCTATGTACATTACATGTCAGCTTCTCCACTAACAGCCCTGTGAATCTGCAAGTTACTCTATAGAAGGTTTTCTGGCTCCAGTCCATGTCTGAATCAGTCTGCCTGGGTTCAGCTACATGGGCTATTTGCTAAAGCAGGGGTCTTCAAACTTGGCCCTTTTATGACTTGTGGACTTCAACTCCCAGAATTCCTCAGCCAGCATGCCAAGTTTGAAGACCCCTGTGCTAAAGAGACCATTCAGCATTTTACATGTTCCAACAAGGATGCTGTCTCTCCTCCAAGGTTCGGTTATTCATCCTTTCTTTTATTTCCCAAACATAACAGGGAATGGCCGTGTTTCTTACCAAGTAAAAGATCTGTTCAAGTTGGAACAATGCCTGCTGCGCACCCAGTTTGACCATTCGCAACTTTGCCAGAGAATGATGGTAGGCCCGACTACAGAGCTTGGTTGACAAGGAACCCAGGCGTGTGTAGTAACTTGGCTCTTCTTTCTGCTTTTCAAGAGGGGCGGCTCCAGAGCCTTTAGGCTGGTCCAAGGATGCAATGGCAACTAAAAGAAACCAACAAGATCAAAAGGGATCCCCATTCACAACACCTGAATTAATATTATCAGTAGTCACTTTATTTCTCAAATAAATCCTCCTTGATTAAGCTTTGGGGAAATCTGGGCTACACTTACATATAACTAAAAAAAGACTTCAACCCCTCTCCCCCATTGTTACAATATTTAATTGGGGGAGCGAGGGGGCTATTTTAGGATATGTACTACCATTTGGAGAGGAACTACAAAAAGGGACCAGCTTTGGTCCAAAAGACTCTTTTTCACTGCCCCTTGCACTAAGTTATGTTAGATTTTTAGTGTAGCCTGTTGTGTGAACCCAACCTTCATGGCATGTAAAAGCAAGATCCAGGGCTTGTAGGTTATGTGAAACTCTTCAGTTAGGTTTTGTGAATCAAAACATGGATAATCAAGAGAGGGAACTGCATATTCTTACGTAATTCCTCATCCGTGATTGGAAGAAAGTGCTCTAGTAAGCCGTCTGATTTGAATATCATCTTGTCAACACTCCTGGCCATCATCTGTGACACACTGATTTCCCTCACAGCGTTCACAGCACTCCTCGCTGAACACAATGTCACTCTCACAGTGTCCACGGCAACTTCAACGCCTATCTCTAGCATGCTATCCACAATATTTGCTTCACTTAATTTGGTATAAATGGATCCAACGATCTGGGGGCGAAAATTCAAAAACAGAAAATATCACAATGAAGAATGATGAAAATCAACACAGAATTAAGCACAAGCGCATACATGTTTCTATATAAATTTGAGTTATATGTTGTTCTTGAATCCAATTTTGATTCTATTTGCTACCTTTTTAAAAAACAACAACACAACAACAAATATACAGGTAGTCCTCCACCTACAATCACAATTGAGCTCAAATTTCCATTGCTAAGCAAGGTAGTTAAGTGAGTTTTGTCCCATTTTATGACCTTTTTTGCCATAGTTGTTAAGCGAATCACTGCAATTGTTAATTGAATCATGCAATTGTTAATGGAATCTGACTCCCCCACCCCGACTTTGCTTGTCAGAAGTCAGCTAGGAAGGTTACAAATGGGAGGTGTCACATGACCCTCTGGACAGAGCAATTGTCATAAATACATGCTAGTTGCCAAAGCACTCAAACTTTGATCATGTGACCATGGGGATGTCGTAACGGTCACAAGTGTGAAAAACAGCCCCAGGCTACTTTTTTCAGCGCCACTGTAACTTTAAATGGTCAATAAATAAATAGTTTAAAGTCAAGGACTACCTGTGCACAAAAATAAATTGATTAATATGTTTTAAGACTACTGAGAAATGGCCCAGGGTAAGAAAGGAAACAATATGCAATATATGCAAATGCCCCCAAATCCTGTCAAATGGTTTATAAATCTAGAGCTCAATTACTCGGCTAATGGAGTAGTATGGTGATGATGAACCTATGAAGTGCATGTCAAAGATGACATGTTTTGGGTAATACACCAGTGTTCAGCAACACCCAACAACTATTCTCAAAAGCACACGCTGTTCTCATGCAATTTTCTGAGGCCTTGGGAGCTGCATGAGAATGGTGTGTGTTGTCATGCAGCCTCCGGAGGTCGCGTGAGGGGGCCATGCTCTTGCAGAGCCTCTGGAGGCTCTAAAAATCGTGCAAGAATCAAGCAGTTTTCGGAAGTCACAGAAGAGCATTTTACAAAACCTATTAAAAAAAAGAATGAAGGCCTCGTGTGATCCAGAGTTGCCTCAGACAGGTCACAGGGGCCTGTCAACAGAAGAACACCAGCATATATGGCAGATTCTGGACATCACACATGATTGGATTGTATTTTTTTTCAAAATTAATATGTAAAAAATTGTTTCCCGTGTGTGTGAAACACACAAGAGTCTCTCTCTGAGGGAGATGGGTAATTCAGAAATGTGAGTATATAAAATAAAAAAGTTAATCTTTTTCCAAAATTTTGACACGCCAAGCCCAAACGTTTCATACCATCACTGAGCTAGTACAACAATAGACCCTACTAAACATGAGGGGCTGTTTTGCATTTTTTAAAAAGCACCAGGAGTATGATACAATGCTTGCTGGAGGAGTCCTGCTAGTCCAAAACTTTGGAAGACAAAGTATTTAAAGGAGAAAAGAGAATGTCCTTTTTTCTCTCATAGGAAGAAAAGATTGGTTGGCATTTCATGGCTCTTACAGCACCTGTTGATAACAGCTGTGTCTGAAGTCCATGCTTATGAAGCTGATCATCTACCTCGTGTTCTGACCACAGTTGAGAGAGAGACAATTTGTGATCTTCCAAGTCTTACTGAATTATAAGGCTCTGTATCCTTCACATTACCTGTCCTAGGGATGTTAGGCGTTGTAATTCAGTAAAATCTAAAATACCATATGTTGCTTACAATGCAATCTACACAGATTGATAATATAGTATGGAAAATAAGTTCAAGTGATTACCTCATTCACTGTCTGTTGCAGAACAGGAAATTGGTATTGTAGCCTGTCAAGATTCCTACAAACAGCTATATTTGCAATAGCAACTGTAAAATAGCAAAGATTAAAGAAAGGTTTGATTACTTAAAAGATTCCCGGTGATGTTCAACAACTGGATGTTACGTGTATTTGGGTTTTATTGCTACTTAGCAATATGAAAAGCCTATATTGTTTTATGCTGCAGCACAATTATACAAAGGAAAATGATCACATGAAGGTGAGATTACCTTGTTATGCACTCATTTAGGTGGTGGGAAATTCAGAGTCATATGAATGGATATCAAAAGATAAGGGCTATGCGCACCTCTTCCTCCATGCATACCATCTGAATGTGCTTACATTTTTTTAAATGGAGCTTTGTGTTTATAGCTTTTTGACCACTAATTGCATTAGAAAAGATGCATCTCTCCCTTGATTAGAGAATGGATAATTTTAAGGTTCAGCCTTCAGCCTTCTTTCTTTGGGATTTCTCTTTCTTCATTCTTTCTCCACAACAAGGTACCATAACATAAATGTAAGTTTTCTGTTATACCATGTAACTTACAAGATAAAATTCACTTGTCCTTTTAGATTTTAAAGATCTCTCCCTAAATTCTCTTAGAGTGAAGGAAATAAACTAGATTATCTTAATATCACAGCTTACATTTAGAAATATCATTCTTAGAAGAAAAACTTCTAGAAAGATGTCTTACACAGAATTGTGTTGCCTCCCTTGTTGCATTTTGCAAAACTTGATGGCTCATCAAAAAATTACAAAATATGGCAAAACGTATTTGAAATTTAATTTCTTTCATTCATTCATTCATTCATTCATTCATTCATTCATTCATTCATTCTTGCTTTTCATTCCATGCAGGATACAGTGGAAGAAATAAGATACAACATGATAAAATTTCTAGCACCCTCATTTAGAGAGCAACCTATAATCTCATATACTTCAATTCTTTCCTAAAGGAGATAACTCACACCATAACTTCAGTGAAAGATTTTAAACCTAATTCATATGCTAAGCAGTTCAAGAGAACTTTAATTCCAGGAAGTAGAGAACTCAATGTAGGAAAAACTGATTTCTCTTGGATTTCAAGTTAAATTGCAAAACGTACACATGGGAAGAATTTTACTAATCAGTAATAACCATAGAAAATTCTACCCCACCACACACTCAAATAATCGACCAAAACCAGAAACTATGTTGCAATCAAATAGGCATATTTTAACAAAGATCTGGTGCTAAGATTGCTCAATAATGATAAACAGTAAAACCGATTACTTGGGCAAGCGTAATTAACCAAAGAACTCACTCATTCACACTTCCCCGAACCCCCAAACCTGCTGCCCAAATACTTAGTACAAACAGAGAAGGCAAAGCTAATAGACACAAGGAAGGACAGTATTACCTTTGCCAGAATCACACACTAGAACCAATACATATGCTCATTCATGCCCTTCAGGTATCACACACCAGCACAAACACACACCCACACCCAGACCCCTCAAGCTCAGGCCAAGGACCAGTGCCCCCTATCAAACAACCACTCTATGCCTCATTTTCTCTGTAGCTACCCACACAAACAAACCACTTTGCTTTGGGGAATTAATAAATCTGATTTGTTTTTGTGCAACCCCGGCTCAAACTGGAACCCCAAATTATTCTTTGGACAACATGCTGAGCAGTTCAAGAAAACCTTAATTCCAGATAGTAGAAAGTAGAGGAAATGTAAGAAAAGCTTTGATTTCTCTTCAATTTCTAGATAAATTGCAAGTATACACATAGACATAATGCTAATTCAACTCAGTTATTTTGCTGTTCAGGTATTTATTGAAGTAGGAGTGGAATATTTTTGGAAGAAGATATGGAAGAGCAGATTAGTGACTGGTTCCAGATACATCATGGCATGGCTTACCTAATCATGGGTTACTGAATAAATTACAGGTAGTCCTTGACTTACAACAGTTCGCTTAGTGACTGTTTGAAGTTACAATATCACTGAAAAAAAGTGACCATTGCAGCATCCCCTGATCACATGATTTACATTTGGATGCTTACAACTGATTTCACATTTATGACAGTTGCAGTGTTCTGGGGTCATGTGATTACTTTTTGCAACCTTTTAACATGCAAAGTCAATGGGGAAACCAGATTCACTTAACAATTGTGTTACTAATTTAATAACTGCAGTAAGTCACTTAACAAATGTGGCAAAAAAATCATAAAATCGGAGAAAACAACAAATTTCTCACTTAACAACATAAATTTTGGGTTCAGTTGTGGTCGTAAGTAGAGGACTACCTGTACCAGTTGATTCATAGATCATATTGAACCATGAACAAGCAAACTACATCTTAAATTAGTGTGATATCCCAAGCAGTCAGTACATTTGTGGTTACTGTTGCAAGCCTGCTGGTCACAATCTCCACACTTCAATGAATTGACTCCTAAAGAGGAAATACTTTGGCTGCAGAGAAGGCAAAACAAGATTAATTCCACTGGTTTAAGTAAGATAGTGTGTATTAAGTTTGAAAAATAAAATTAAGAACTCAGGTTAGCTTCCTAGGCTTGCCCTAAGGAACCTTTGGAATCAAAGTCTTTTCAGAATCCCCAGTTGCTGTTGGACTATAAATCCCCTATTCTCTTACAGCAGAGGTCCCCAACCCCCAGGCCGTGGACCGGTACCGGGCCACGGCATGCCAGCAACCGGTCCGCCCAAACAAGCAAAGCCCCATCTAAGGGATGGAGGCAGCCCACAAAACCACACACTCTCCGGTCCGTGGAAAAGCCTCTCTCCACGGAACCGGTCGCTGGTGCCCAAAAGGTTGGGGACCTCTGGCTTACAGCATCTCAAAAGCCATACATTGGAAAACCAAGCCCAAAAAACACACCTGGCATGACAAAGAATAGTGTTCTAGTTTGGAGTGGGCCTACCAGCTATGACCAATTACTTACGTTGAGGTTCAAATATGTCGAGAAGAGGTTCTACGCTGCTTGCAATATTCTTCACACCCGTCTCTGCCATCTCACAGACTGTTTGGATAGCTGGATGAGACTGCTTGGCCAAATTATAGATAGACGAAACCCACTCATAAGTAGAACTGATTAATGGCAGATCAGCAAACTTTTGGACGGCACACTAAGAAATAAGATACCACAGAGTCACCATCTTGCTGGGTCCCAGAAGAGTTCTAGATAGCTGAATTGCAGTAGAGATCACATATTTGTGAAAGGCAGAGTTGTCAATGAAGCTATGATTCAAACTGGACAAACAGTAAACCGATACTGCGGAACTCTAGTTTGTTACTGTTTCTTTCTCAGCACTTTATTAAAAACAGCACAATACAACAAGTTTTGTCTTTAAGAAGCTCAAAAGCTTTCCTCAGCATTTTCTTTTGATGGTTTTACGGTGATCAAAATAGGACCCAATGGGCCTGCAGCTCTTTTGAAAATAAATCTTTGAAAAAGGATATACATTAGAAAACCCATGCTGGGTTTATTCCTGTCACGTACAGTTTGGCCCTTAAATATTATCCTTGCTCCTTCCAGTATTTTCCACTTACCTGTTGTTCATCTATGATCCTTACAGGCATTAACTCTGCTCCAGGAGAATACATGATGACGATGCTGAGAAAGAGCGGCCAGCACTACAGAGAGTCAAGATCCAATTCAGTCATCATACTAATACATCCAGTTACATTACACACAATTTTAGCAGCTTTTGCAGAGGTAGCAAGGCCAGCTAAACAAACAAACCCTACCCTATACCTGTATTTAAAGCAGTGTTTATTCCAGCCTTGATCTATTTACACCACGAGGACATCTGGAGATGTCGAAGCAGGCTTTAGCGGTCAGGGCAAAAAGATTCCTTCTATTATAGAACATCTGATTGCATACATTTAGTTGTACTGTAATGTGATTTATTTGCTTTGGGGTGATAAGCTATATTTACTCTTGCACTTTTTACCAACTAGCTAACTGTGGTTTGTATAAATTACTCAGGTTTTGATTCTTAACTTATGATTTACAAGTTAATACTTCAGGGATTTTTGAAGCTCTGTATCATCTATGGCAGGGCTTTTCAACCAGTGGTACAGGTACCACCTGTGGTACATTGGCACCTGGCAGGTGGTACGCAACCATCCTAGAAAAGTGGTAGCGGTGGAGGGGAATGAGCTGAACCGGTGGCAGCACCGCACAAGCCTGAGTGAGAGATGGCTGGAGCTGCAGGGCTGTCAGGGCTCAGCGGAAGCGCCAGGATCAGTGCCACTTTCCAGCTGATCTGCGCTTCTTCGGGACTGTCAGGGCTCAGTGGAAGCGCCAGGATCAGCACCAAGCTCCAGCTGGAGCTCGGTGCTGATCCTGGTGTTTCTGCTGAGCCCTGAAGAAGCACCAATCAGCTGGAAAGCAGCACTGATCCTGGTGCTTCTGCTGAGCCCAGAAGAAGCGCTGATCAGCTGGAATGTTGCAGCATCTCCAGGGTCTTGTGATTTACATTCAGATGCTTGGCAACTGATTCATATTTATGACGGTCACAGTGTCCCAGGGTCATGAGAAGTGACCAAAACCTGCTGCAACCACCAAGCAGATGAGGGGAATAAAAACCAAACACCCCCCTAACCCACCCCCGCTGCCAATCCTCAACAGAAATGCTCACAATTAAAACCTTGGACAGGAGGAAGAGCGCCGCCGGGTGGGCAGGCAGGTGTCTTGCTCGGCTGTGGCTTGGGGGGCCACTTTTTTCAGTGCCATTGTAACTTGCCATTGTAACTTCGAACAGTCACTAGGCAAACTGTTGTAAGTCGAGGACTAACTGTACTTTATCACTTTTTTCCTTTTTTTTTTTTTTTTGGTCATCAAGTTTTTGACACCTTGCTAGGCGACTGGTGGTACTCGGATGTTGCCATATCCTAAAAGTGGTACAATGGTGAAAAGGTTGAAAAGCCCTGATCTATGGCAAGGGTGTCCAAACTTGGCAACTTTAAGACTTGGGGACTTCAACTCCCATTATTCCTCAGCTAGCCAAGTCCATAAGTCTTAAAAGTTGTCAAGGTTGGAGACCCCTAATCTATAGAAAAGGGGGGGGGGAAGCAGTGACACCTTTGGGACAACCCTTTTCCAAGACTGCCCCCTTAACAAAACAAATAATTCAACTCTGATTCTGTAGTTATCAGTTTAATGTAGCATAACTCTCTTCTGCACATTAATCAGAAATAGTTGGCATTTCTGAACATTACAGGTAATCCTCAATTTATAACCACAATTGAACCAAAACCTATGTTGTTCAGTGAGAAATTTGTTAAGCGAGTTTTGCCTCATTTTACAACTTTTCCCACCATATTTGTTAGGTGAATCACTGCAGTTCTTAAATCAGTAACACAGTTGTTAAGTGAGTTTGGTGCCTTTTTTGTGCCTTTCCTGCAACAATCATTAAGTGAACCACTGCAGTTAAGTTAGTAACATGGTTGTTAAGGAAATCTAGCTTCCCCATTGACTTTGCTTGTCATAAGGTTGCAAAAAGGGGATTATATTACTCTGAGACACTGCAATGTCATAAATATGAGTCAAGCATCCGAATATAAATCACATGACCATGGGGATGCTGCAATGAGAAAAATAGTCATAAATCCCTTTTTTCAGTGCCGTTGTAACTTTGAACGGTCACGAAATGAACGGTTGTAAGTCGAAGACTACTTATATTCACAAACGTATGCATTTCATTGCATTTTTAAATTCAAATTTAAATTCAAATTGGAAAGACCTTTATGGAGGTCAGTTAATTCTGACACAGGTGGAGTCTCTCTCTAGCAGAGTTCTTCTCTTGCCACTGTAATCCCAGCAAAGAATTGCAGAGAATTCTAGGGTGATAACTGATTCCATTTAAACTGGTATTTCTGCTTTCCCTTAGGGGTATTCTCCCTACAGATTAATCAGGTGTTCAGGAATGCTAAACAGCTCCACCCTTTCAATTTTTTAGACTAATGATTTCTTCCTTTCCATAGATGGAAACTGAAGCCTTTCTATTCTAAGGAATTTGTCCTGCTGGGATGCACTAGGTTTGTGGACTTGCAAGCCCCCTCCACAATAATCTAATCAGGAAAGGCCAGTACACCTGGGTGTGGCTGTGCTAATTTCTTAGAACAAAAGCAATTTAGCAACAGTATTTCAGACACAGTATTTCAGGGAAAAATCAAATATTTCTGCAAAACAAGCCAAAGGAAAAAAAAAACACTGAGACATAATAAAACATGGTCCCTTTTAAGAAAGTTAAACTGGGTTTCTGGGAAATACCTCTTGTTTTAAAGTATAGCAGACTTATATTATTCAGGAGCTTTTTTATTGTGTAGCACAAAGCTACACAAGGCCAAGATTCTGTATTTGACAAAAGTCAATAAAATGTTTTAGCAAAAGCTAAAACCAAGTCATAAGAACAATTAACCTCTTCCACCAATCCCCAGCATTCTGTATTCAAAAATATCCGGAGAGATTTACTACATCTGAATGAGGAATTTCCATTCAACTATCAAGCCTGTGAGACCAATTTTGCAAAAAAAAAAAAAATAGTTTTGCTTTGCAGAATCATACATAAAAAGGAAACAAAGACCAACTTTAAACCACATTTCAGAAAGAAAAGCAACTCATGTTAGTTATATTTACAATCATACATACCTCAAAGCCAACAATAAAGCCACTTCCGGCCTCAGTGGTCTTATATACCATGAAACATAAAAAGGCAGAGGCGGGCAATCATTGACAGACAGTTCCGTAAAGCAATCAAAAGCTTCTTCCACTGCTGAAGGGGAGATAGGATAATTGTGTTAGAAAAGGCAAAGGCTGTAATTCTATACTGTATTCCTTTAACAACCCACAATCAGGTTGACTAAGAATTATGTTAACTAGCATGCAAAACATCAAGGCATGCAAAACATGTTAGAAAAGGTAGCTATAAATTTACAGTGACCATACTTCCTTTATTAGGAAGGGGAATCTTTTATTTAAAATATGTCCTTTACATTTTTTTAATTTAATCATTTTCTGTGTCTTGCTCTTTATTTTTTCTTTGTAATGCAAAGTTATAAACGGAAACTATTAAATGTTTGTATCCTTACAAACCTCTTTCAGATTTGCCCCTTTTGGGACTTATCCTTTATTCCCCCCCCCCCAAGAAAATAAGGTTACTGTATGTAAAGTAGAAGAAAACGTAGATAGTAGTTTTCTTTCTTTTTACTCTGGACCTTTTTCTATCACCTCTCTTAAAACAAATCTACCATCTGTGCAAAGTACATCTTGTGTGTAACAGTGAACATATATGCGCTTTTTTACTAGAAGCCATGACATTTATTTCATTTATCTGCAGCGCTTCAGTTGTAATTCAGTGGAGCTGCTTTTGTACAGATAAAATAGCTCACAGACTAGTGGGTGCCTCTAGTGAAAGAAAGCTGGCAAGAAACAAAGTTCATATGAGGCCATTCTCGTCTGAAGTTCATTATGTTACAAATATCGTGACACGTTTTGCAGTGTGGTGTCCTGTAGTGCTATGAGTTGTTTAGCCTAAGAGTCTAATCCATTATTGAAAAAGGAGATGTGACAAATGTGTTGCTTGAAGTGGCTAATTGACTTAGCTAAAAGCAAAATCTAAGGGATTGTTTTGGACAAAACTCAGCAGCACTTTTTCGTGCGGCTGCTGATAAAAACAGGATCGCCAACAAGATCGCCAACGTCCGATAATGGATATGGAAGAAGAAGAAGAAGAAGAAGAAGAAGAAGAAGAAGAAGAAGAAGAAGAAGAAGAAGAAGAGGAGGAGGAGGAGGAGGAGGAGGAGGAGGAGGAGCAAGCCTGGCCCATTCTCTTGCTAATTCTTTAATGAGGCTTCGGTACAAAAACAAAACAAAAACATTTCGCTGATTATAGGTTTGATTAGAGGGGTTTTTTTTCTCTTTTCCTTCCTTTCTTCTTGAACAACAAGCATTCAACAGTGGAAGCTTGTCTGTAGGTTGTATATTTCAACATTTCTGATTGAGAAAAAGGTGACGTTTCTGAATGAGTGTGAATTTTGAAAAGCCACTCTCTTTTCAATTAGAAAACTTTTTTTCAATTGTGGAAGAAGTAAGAAGTGCTGTGCTTTACACACGGCTGCTGTTCTTGAATTCTTTCTGGTGAGCTACCTGATTAGGGTGGCCAAATATTTTTTAAAAGTTCCTGCATCCTTAATACTTGTGTAGAAGCCAGAGCTGCAAGATAAGCTGACATCTGAACACTAGAATCATAGGTCTGGAAGGGATCTTGGAGGTCTTCTAGTCCAGGGGTAGGCAACTGTGGCTCTTTTATGACTGGTGGACTTCAACTCCCAGAATTCCTGAGCCAGCATAGCTCAGAATTCTGGGAGTTGAAGTCCATGAGTCATAAAAGAGCCAAGGTTGCCTACCGCTGTTCTAATCCTTGAGCAGGTGTTGGACTAGATTCTAGTCCAACCCCCTGCTCAAGGCAGGAGACTGTATACTGTTCCAGTCAAATGGTTGTCCAGTCTAGTTTTTAAAAATCTTCAGTGTTGGAGCAAGACAAGCTATTTCATTGATCAATTGTTCTGTCAGAAAATTTCTCCTTACCTCTAGATTGTATTTCAGATCTAACAAGCTTCCACCATTACGTTCGTTCTGCTGAGATTCATTCATTCATTCATTCATTCATTCATTCATTCATTCATTCATTCATTCATTCATTCTTTTGAAAAACTGTTCACATTGCTCACACTCTTTTCCTGGTACAGGTAGTCTTTGATTTACAACCAATTGTTTAACAACCATTCAAAGTTATACAACCCATCCTCAAAAGTTACAACTGCTGCACCACCTCATGGTCAGGTGATTGCATTTTGGGTGCTTGGCAGCCAACTTACATTTATGGCTGGTTGCAATACTCCATGGTCATATGATCACATTTTACAACATTTTTTGTCAGTGGCACATTTTTCCATTTCTACCGCATACAATGTGAGGTCTGCAACAACCACTATGTAAGACAAACAGGCAGAAGACTGGCAGAACACATCTATGAACACTAAGTAGCAGTCAGAAGACATGATGAAAGCTCATGAAAAAAACCACCCTACTTGCCATGCCAGGCAGTCAGCTGTCCCAGAACCAATTGCTACTGTAGTCACTTTGCTTCTGATTCCTAAATAAATGGAGATCTCCTTTCCTGCAGCTTGCCTCCAAATTCATTGGCTCAAGCGTCTTTCTCCTGGCTTGGAACCAGATTTTATTTCCTACAATACCCATGATCATGTGATCAAAATTCAGATACTCAGCAACTGGTTCATACTTATAACTGTTACTGTGTCCCATCATGTCCCATCACCTTTTTCAACCTCCTGACAAGCAAAATCACTGGGGAAGCCAGATTCACTTAACAACCAGGTTACTAACTTATGCAGCATCCCCATGGTCACATGATCAAAATTCAGATGCTTGGCAACTGACTCATATTTATGACCGTTGCAGTGTCCCGGGGACATGTGATCCCCTTTTGTGACCTTCTGACAAGAAAAGTCAATGGGCAAACCAGATTCACTTAACAACCATATTACTAACTTAAGAACCATGTTACTAACTTAACTGCGGCAAGAAAAGTCATAAAACGGGGCAAAACTCACTTAATTAATGTTTCACTTAACAACAGAAATTTTGGACTCAACTGTGGACGTAATCAAAGTCTGCCTGTAATGGTTTTAGCAGTTGTAACAATGAGGTTAAGAGCAGGAATTTTTGGTAGTTTTGTGGTTTGGCTAATTAAACACATATATATTCCATTATATTCCCTACTTAGATCTTAGGACTGTTATCTATGTCTTATCTTCCTTTTTAAAAAAAAACATCAACACATTGGGTAGATGAAAATAAAAACATCCCCATAGCTTTTTATTCCATCTGTATAGAAACACACAAGAATAGTACAGCATATTAGACTCTAATTACATTCATTATACAAGAGATTGTGTATTTGGCCTTTCCTGGTGTTTTCAGTAGAAGATGAGGCTCACCTTTAAAATAATTGCAATACGGTTCCCCCCTCCCATTGCTCATCTTGACCAGCATTTAGTTGTGAGGATTCTAATGAGTATATGAGTGCTTGTTTTAAGATGGTTTTAGGACTTAAGGTAGCTTACACTCTCTTTTGCTTTTTGGTTGTATTAAGAATTTAATTTGCTCTGTTTGCCACTATGACAAAAACTATGTTTTTAATAGGAAATCTGGAAATTGTGCTCCCACATAGTAAAAGAAGCCAGGATGGGGAAGGCTGCATTCAGAAGGTCTTTAAAATCCCTAATATAGATGGGAAACATACAGGTTTATGCATTTCAGTTGAGTGCAGGTAGAAAAGCTTCCCTATGGTGGTATCGCCATCATTTTGCTGTTTCTGTCAGGCTCAAAGAACCAAGAATGACGTGTGGACTTTCCCTTTAGTCAGAAATTTGCCAAACTGAAACAACTCCCTACATAAGTATTAGATACACTATGTGAATTGCTAGGAGGAGTCCATCTCCCCCCTCTTCCTGCATTCCCCGAGATCCTAAGCTCCTCTTTGCTCTTTGCTCTCTGGGAAAGAGCCCCTCTTTCTTGTGACTCCGAACAATATTCCACCACAGTTTCTCCTTGAACTAAACTAAGGATATGATGATGTTGCAACAGCACATATTGGGGGTGGGTTAGGATTGTCAAATGCTGAATGGTGATTGGGAAATGTATGTGTCGGATCCAGATAAAACACTTTTATGAATTCTCAAAACATTTAAGAATACCCCCTGTCAGAACAGGGAATACATTTTTTGCATTTCTAATTCATATTATCAGAATCACAATACTTGGGCATTTGGTTGCAGTGTGGAGTCTCTAGATCAGGGGTAGGCAATCTTGGCTCTTTTATGACTCGTGGACTTCAACTCCCAGAATTCCTGAGCCAGCCATGCTGGCTCAGGAATTCTGGGAGTTGAAGTCCACAAGTCATAAAAGAGCCAAGGTTGCCTACCCCTGATCTAGATAGTTGTATTAACTATGATGTATGCCTTGTAAATGCTACTGATTATTAATTTTAATCTGGTTTTATGGTTTATTTGTATCATCGTCATCATTATCATCATCATCATCATTTTCCTAGTGTTTTTTCTGCAGGGACAGGGTCCACTTTTGAGCTCAACAAATGCCATCTTACACAATCAAATGCAGCATCTGGATCATGTCTCTATTTTGACAGAGCTGGTTATCGTTCCATAGGTTGCGAAAAAAAACCCTGACTGACCAGCTTGTCACCTGGGCTTGATGTCGGTTTGGTCTGTGTTCAACTCAGCACTACCCCAGCAGTTGGACAGTATCCAGCGGCATCTCTAGCAGGAGCAGACCTCACCACCATATTTTGTTTCTTATAGTTGTAGTTTTTAATTTCTGAGTTGCCCCATGTCACTTATATGAGATGGATAGCTATGTAAATTGGATAAATTGGATAAATAAATAAAGCAAACTATAATGAGATTCCTCATTGCCCTGTTCCAAGCAGAGGTATTGACTTTTTGTTTGAAATGAACACACTTTGAGCTGAAAATACAATATTTACTAAGTACAATTGAAAAAAGCTTGTGCCGCTGTTGGTTCAGTTCTTTCTCTTCAACCCTTTGAACAAATAACCTCAGTTAATCCAGTTCCACACCCAAGAAATGTTCTTGGGTGGATTTTTTCTGCCCATCCTTTTCTGCCCATGCTCTTTTTTGGGGGGCAAAGTGATTTATTCTGCTGCTTCCAGACTACACGTAATAAGAATTGGGTCGAGTCTAATCTATTATGGCATTTGCCAGACTCCATAACCTTTCCGACCTTAAAATTGTTTTTCTCCACCCATTCTGCTGTGGGTATATAGAAATAAGGAATTTAGGAAAAGAATACAAACAATGAATATTTTGCAAAGGAGTGTGTCCTATGAATGCCCCCTTGTTATTAGATTGTTATTGGGCCTTAGTGTTGACCCCTGGTAACTGCTTGGACTAATCTCTGCAATTTTCCTGGCAAGTTTTTTTTTTCCTAGTAGTGTTTTGCCATGACTTGCTTTCTAAGGCAGAGGGAGAAGGACTGGCCCAAGATCATCCAGCTGACTTCATGCCTAAAGTGGAACTGGAATTCATGGTTTTCCTCATGGGACCGATGGACAAATAGTGGAAAAAAGTTGGGGAACTTAGATTTGTATATGAAAATCCTATCAAACTGCACAGAGTTATTAGGTTAACACAGGGTGGTCACACAAACCTGATTCAATAAAGTAGATTTCAAACATTTCTTCTTTGCCTTTTTCCTCCCTATGCCCAAAACGTCTACTGCACTTTTACTAACCATAGCTAGAAGCCTTTATATATTGCATCTTGTGTACTAGTCATGGTCTCTCTGGGATCAAGATGCCCTGCTTATAATCACTTATTCCTTGATCAAGACTTGTTTTGATTATTGCAGTACGCTCTAACATGGGGCTTCCTTTGAGAGGCTACAATTGATCCAAAATGCAGTGACTTGAATAGTTATGGGTAGTAGTTCATTTACTCATATCACGTGTCTATTTTGAGAACGGCACTGATTGCTTGTTGTCCCTAGTGTAATTTAAGGTGTTAATTATAACCTTTAAAGCCCTTTATGACTCAGGATCTTGATATCTTTACTGGCCCATCTAATAACATCCAAGAAGCTGGGTTATTTTAGAGTTCCTACATTCATTCATTCATTCATTCATTCATTCGTTCATAAAATTTATTTGCCCTCCATCTCGTATCCAATGACTCTGTGCAGCTTACAACATAGAAACACTGAAAAAACAATGTTTACTAGCAAAGCAGCTGCCAGTTGAAATCATACATCGTCAAAACACAGCAGATAAAAAAACATTAAGAGATAAAATCATGGACACTAGATGGCAAAGAGGGGAGCTGGAGGCTCAGCTGTGGATAGATGACATTATGGAATATTATCTACAAGGACCTCAGGGCATGCCTTCTAGAATGCTGCCTCCTTTCTATGAAATAATATTCCACAGAGATCAGTCCCCTGTGTTTCTGTTGTTCTGTAAAGCCATTAAGATGTGGCACTTAGCCAGTGGATTCTGAAGGATGAGAGCTCCTTCTGTAGAACGCTTTCTGCTTTTTCAATCCTAGCCTTTCTTTCTTTGAATGAATGACTATTGCAATTGTTATTTTGAATTTGTGTCTTTTTGACTTGACCACTGAAAGAGGTGTACCAGCAGCTCAGAATTATTTGTTAATTAGAATGGTATAGAAGTTTAATAAACCTATTAAATAAAAAATACACTAATAAATAGTTGCAAAAAATGCAGTATGTGTACATTTCAACAACACATGGGTAATAACAACAACGGTGGGTGCACACACATCTTTCAGTATTAGTTTTGGTTTTATGTTGGTCTAGAAAACCTAGCCCAATCAAGATTCCCTAGATATGTGTACTGGTATTTAAAGATGTGTCTATTCTATATAGACTCTGTCCTTGCTACAGACCAGCTGAGGGGAATGTTAGGATCATAGTGATGCTCTCTTAAGCAAAGTGAGCAAAACTAATCATCTGTGTTATTTTAATCTAGAGCAGTGGTGGTGAACCTATGGCATGTGTGCCAGAGGCGGCACTCG